CATCCCTGTTTTTAGGTTTTATAAGCAACAGTTCATGTTAAGTTTCCAGATGTGAAATGAAGAAATTACTACTTTGTCCACTGCTCTGTACTTTCCTGAAAACGTGTGAATATGTGAACTAAGTAACTAAGGAATAACTATAAGCTGTTAAGTTATATAAAGACAATATGGTTAAGTTATATAAAGATAATAGTGACAGCCTATTTATTGATTGGTTATATTTATACAACGCTTGAATGTAGCACTAATGTACTAGCTGCAAAGTGTCTAATCTAGGACTATTCTGAGTTCAAATGTTAAGAAAGAGTATTCACCAAGAATTTCTCTAGCTGTTTTATGTCTTTGACTTCTTAATCTGCATCATCGACTGCTCTTTTTTTCCAGGATACTGGGTTTTTGTTGTTTTAACTGACTTTGTGTGCTGGTACACTGAGTGACAGGTACAAACTCTAAATACTTACCTAGAATTACAATTTTGCAAAAGTTAAATCTCCACTTTCCAAGTACTTTATATGTAAAAGATTTGGTCTGGTATCTTAGCATTCAGGTGGTACAGCTAGAAAGGTAGGGAAGGACTTTTTGCAAAGTAATCCTATCATCACAATTAAAAGAAAAAGGAAATTTCTGGCAGTTGGGGCCATCAAAGAAAGCTTTATAGAAAAGTGAACCTTCACTTAAAGACTTGAAACAAAAAATGCATATGAATAAAAAGTGAGCAACGTTACAGACTGGAAGAAATAATTTTTAAGGGGAGACATGGGAGCTATGGTTAAGGCAGATGAGGAAATTGATAAGATATAGGAATTTATCCAGGAAGATTTGAGCAGGATTGTTTTAGATTTTAAGAATTAAATTGATTATTAAGTAGAATGAGCAGAAACTAGGAGCTTTTAAAATAATTTTGAGCAAGAACAAAACATAAAAACAGTTGCACTTAAGGAATATTAAATCTGATGAAATGAGGTTTATTGAGTCAGGACACCTGAAATCTGTATCATTCTAGGTGGGAAATGAAGAGGGGCTTTTATTTGAGGCAGGGGAACGTGTTAGGAATGAGAGACATCTTACAGAAAAAAAATTGTGAAATTTAGTTTCTATCATGACATGAAATTTAGAAAAGGATTTTTAAATTTGGGTAATTAGGAACCAAATAGTGGCATTGAGGTTGGAAGGAAGAATTCTTTTGAAAAGATCGAAGGAAGAAATATCAAAGGATGTCAGAATTTTATACGATCTGTCCGAAGGTTGTTGTTTTCCATATGATTTGTGATTTTTTTAACAACCCTCCAAAATTGTTATTAATTATGTTTATTTTTCCAAAGTGAGGAAAAAGAGACTCAGTTATGTTATAAAAGATATTCCCAAATCACACAGTTAAATAAGTCCAGCCAGCAAATTTCAAATGCAGGCTTGTTGTCTCTGGGCCAGTTCTTTCAATGAGAATTGGAGAAATTGTTTGCGCACAGTGCTTATTGGGTTATATGTTTGTTATGTGCCTCTTGCAACTAGGACCTGAGGCCAAGCAGTCTGGGTTGTTCACAGTTACAGCGCCGTTCCTTAGAACTGTGCAAGGCAAACAGTAGGCCTTCAGTAAATAATTTTTAACCAACAAAAACAAAGGAACAAGCACATAAACAAGTTACAGAGATGGTGGTAGAAACTGAGCCTCTCAACTCACATTTCCCTTATTTGTCACAGCTGACCACAGTCCCTTTTACTGGGTTTTTCCAAACCACCACACATGTTCAAACACCAACCAATATACGAAATAAGTAATGGTGCCTGATGTGAGATGTTAGGACAAACAGTGACTACTCCATAATGCTTGCTTATAGGAAATGCTGACAAAATCTAAAAAGTACCAAGGAAAACTTGCTGAGAAATGACATTTTCTTCTCCACTTTCTTAACTGCCTTCTCTCTAAAACAGTAATAGTTGAAAGAATAAATTGGATTAAACATAGTATTAACCTCCCAGGCACTGCATTTCTACCCAAGACCCAGTAATATATGCGTATGGTTGGTTTATGCATTTGGGTGACTCTTGATTTTAAATACTGTTGTGAGGACTTGATTTTCCTCCTCATTATTTGACATTTGACTAAAGGGTGATCAAAGCAGAAAGAAAGGTTTTTGCATGATGGTTTGGTACTCCCCTACCCCCTCCACGCACCCCCCAGGAAGAATGTTCTGGTCTTCAGTGTGTTTATTTTGCATGTAGAAGGTGTTGGGACTCATTGCCTTTAATAACTTGGTCCACTGAGCAACCAGAAACCATTGTCCTTTGAGATCTGATGCGTGTTTTTAACACTACGTACTATTGTTTTGCCAGTGGACTACACACAAGCATTTTATAACCCCATTTACTGTGACACTGATAAATGAGCCAGTTTCTTCTCACTGGAGAGAAAAACTTAAGTTTTTCCTGAAAAACTTAAGTGGAAGAAAGTCCACAGACCCTTTGTATCTTTGCGTATAATATTTGTACAGACTCTTTACCAATGATAATTTTCATTTTGTGTCTTTTATTATCTTCTGCAAGTTATTTGTACATAATTTTCTGATGATGATTTAAAGGCTGACCATGTGTTTCTGAAGCTATATATATAACAAAACATATTCTTTGACATTCATAATTCTACATTCTAATGCATACTGTATATGTGTATAGACCAGTAGTTAACATTTTTATAAACTTACAGTATACCCAGGTACTATACTAACTGCTTTATATGTTTCATCTCAAATAATCTACTAATGTTATAAAATAGATTTGATTGTTATCTTTTCTTTAAAAAGATTGCACTTCATTTTTAGAACAGTTAGTTTTAGGCTTATGAAAAAAATCGAGGGGCGCATGGGTGGCGCAGTCAGTTCGGTGTCTGACTTGATTTCGGCTCTGGTTGTAATCTTAGGGTTATGGGGTTGGGCCCTGTGCTCAGCATAGAGTCTTCTTGGGATTGTCTCTCTTGCTCTCCCTCTGCCCATCCCCCCACTTGCGTTCTCTCTCTCTCTCTCTCTCTCTCTCTCTCAAATAAATGGATCAATTAAATAATGAATGTTTTTAGAAATTGAGCCAAAATTTCCCATATACTTCCTTACTCTCTTACCACCCTACATGGTTTCCCTACTATTATCAACTTGCATTGGTGTTGTACCTTTGTTACCATTGGTGAGCAAATACTGACACATATTTATTAGAGTTTACATTTGGTTCACTGTGTTAATACAGTCGATGAGTTTTGACAGATATGGAATGACATGTGTCCACTATTACTGTATCCTACAGAACAATTTCATTTCCCTAGAAATTCTCTGTGTTCCACCTATCTTCATTTTTATAATAGAGAACATAACAGCTAAAAGATGATACAGTTTTCTAAGGGTCACGTGGTTACACCGGTAGGGTCGCTGTTGTGCCTGCCTAGAATCTATGATCTGAACTTACACATTACAATCATTACACTCCCTGATTCATCACAGTTATTTAATTATTTTAAGGACTCTTCCCTTTGTAAGAGTCTTGCAAAGTCTTACTAACTTATGAAAGTATGGTCTCTACAGGGAGCATTTTGCCTGTACTTTCCTTCTTTTCCTTTGAAGTTAAAATATTGTGAGAAAATATTGCAGGGAATTAAGATTTTAATTACTGGATATTTGGCAAGACTTGTTAGTTAAAGAGATGTTATTGACCAGAGTAGCATTATTAAAATGCAAGAAGAAATGAAGATGTCAAGTGTCTGCTGTCTGCTATAGAGGATAGAAGCTGTATGGGGACTGGGTCCTACTGGCTAGAGGAATGGGTGAATAAAGGATGTAGCAACAGTGAATTTTTTAAATGAGTGGATCAACAAAAAGGAGGAGTAGGGGAAGGAAAAATCAGTCAAAGTTGAATGCAACGTAGACTCTTAGGTTAACAATACACCTCTACTTTTGGAAGATCTATCTCCGTACCAGTGGTTTAAGAAATACAGCTGAAGAAAGAGAAAAATGTTGCCTAAAGTTCATGTGATAGGTAGTATATAAGTTAGAAGGAACAAGGAGATAAGATGAGTTCCCTGACTCTATACCATGACTCCTGGACACCTCTGCCACCCAGTGCCTCACTGCCACTCTTGGAAGGCATAGCTCTTCATTCCAACCTTGCAGGACAAGACAGACTTGCCCCACGAAAGTTCTTCTGGGGGCTCTTCTACCCCAAACTACCCTTTTATGTTACTCTGTAGGCAATTTTGGTTCAGAAGCTATAACACGGTAAGGAATATATAGTTTCAGGATCTGCTAAGACTGATAATGTTTCATGAAAAATCCATGTATTGCATAGAAGCCTCCCCCCCCCCCACTTTTTGCTTATTTTCTTCTGAGGATGATGGTCATGTTTACTTAAAATTAAAACTATAGCTCAGAAGAAGTGCCAGCCTCAGATTAAAATCCTGGTTTAGGAATATTTTAGTCCTGAATGACATTAGCAAGAATAAGCAGTAGTTGCTTGAGATTCAACAAACCATGACCTAGTTTCTTCATATGTAAAGTGAACCATTAGGACAAATCATGTCAAAAGCTAAAATGCTCCAAATTCTTTAATAAGGAAAAAGAAATGAAGAGGAAACAAATGGAAGGGAGAAAATAAAATAGAAAATGCAAATAATAGTTTCCACCATTGCTTAAAACTATCTCATCCTTTTGGTTTTTGTGGAACTCTTTTCTGTTGCCTTCCTGGCCTCTTCTCTGATCTCTTTGGTGAACTCACTCTCACTGTCTGTTCTTCCAATCTTGGTGTTTCCCAGGATTCTGATTTCAGTCTTGTGTCTCAAATACTCTCCTTGGTCATCCTTGTTTAGATAAAAACACACTGTGTGTGTGTGTGTGTGTGTGTGTGTGTGTGTGTGTGTGTGTGATGATTACTAAGTAGACCTCAGTCTACTTACGTTATTTGGGCCCAGGAGGTAAAGAATCCTTCATGATCTACTGCTGAATCATCCATTTTCTCTGTTTTTCAAGGGTCGTAAGAGTGAGGCTGAAAAGTTCTTCTTGAAGGCTATTGAGCTGGATCCCACCAAAGGAAACTGTTACATGCATTATGGTGAGTGGTTGAGTGTTTTTTCCATGTCCCCCACGTTTACTGTTAATGTTGATGTAAGTTTTAGGATTTGCTGGCAAAGAACATTTTGAGAGGGCATGGACTTGATTGTTGCAGATTTTGCCTCATGCTGTAGTCTTAGCTTCTTGTTCAAAGCAATCATGTTATCAAGGGCTATGCATTATATTTTCCATTAGTAGTTTTCATAGGACTTCAGAGAGGAGAGGCATTTTCACAGCTGTTTCTTTCAAGTCCAGTGTGAAGGGTAAATAAGGTCTCATCAGAAAAGCATCTTGCTCTTTGCCTGATGCAAGGTATGGAACCAGAGTATTAGCCCTCTTTTATTTGTAAATGATAATGTATTTTTCATTGGCCATATCATTTTGAAGTTTTGACCACATAACCTTGCTTTGTAGAAAAGAAAAATGTATCCAGGCCTCTAGATACCTGAGATTGGGGTCAAGGATAAACTGTAAATAGTATAAAAGAAAATGAACTTTCTCATTCAGTTTAGTCTTGGCCTTAATCAGTCCAGAATAAACTTAAATAACAGCTCTGTCACACTCCACTCTGTCATTAGTAGTGAGTCATGTGTTAAACGAGGTGAAGTATATGGCTGGTTGATGTTGGGTAAGATGTACTTATTTCTACCAGATTTGTAGTTGGCATGGCTTTCAAGGAACCAAAAAGCATTTAATTTTACTGATCCTTTGGGGGAAAAATGATTTTTTAACCATTCTTAGCTTTGATGTGTTATCATCAAGTAGTAAACTGAAGGATAGATGGTAGTTAAATCTTGAGGAAATAAAGCTAATATCCTTCTTCTTAAAGATAATTCTTTCTTCCATCTTACAACTGGAAAACTAAATTCAGTGACAGGCTGTGAGTGTGGAAAAATGGAAAAAGTAAGACAGAGGATACACGTTACCAACCACAGGTCCGTTTGTTTATTTACATTTTGCATGTATGTTTATAATCCTAGGGTCGGGATGCTTTATCTTTCCAGCATAATGCAGCCTATAATTTCACACAGGTTATTGCATAACTACTCCGGATTTTGTTTCACGATGCAGTTATTGCCATGTTAAGTTGGCAGTCAACTAATTTAAGTTTGCTGCAGAATCTATTTTATTTTTACAGGATTTCTCATATGAAGTATTTTAAATTAGATTTTCTCATGCATGCTATTTTGGGCACCCCTACTGTGCGTTAAAGTAGGCCCATGATTATTTTTCTGAGTGCTAAAGAACCTCTTCTTATTGAATCTTTTGAAGTAGAATTTTTTCCCCATCTTGCCTTCTGCGCTTCCATTACCTCAAACTAATTCTACTTAATACATCTTCTAATCTTGTTCCTATAATTTTATTATATGCTTTAGGTTTTTCACAGTCTATTCCTTTACATTTCATTATTGCTTCATTTTAATTGCAATGGGAAAAAAAATCACGTGTTCATTTTTAGAGTTTGCCTCTTTATTATTCTCATTTATCTGTCTTTACCCACTCTGTTGTTTTATTTATGGTTTTTTTTTAATATTACATCATCCTCCTGATTTTTTTCCCATAGAGAGAAATTTTTGGATTTAGTTTTAACAGAAAGTGCAACAAATTCTGTATTGTATAGGTTATTTGAAAAATAGTGATAACACACACTCTGTAAATGTATGTGGCAAAACAGATTCTTCTTAGCACTCCTGGATTATTTTAAAGTTTTTAGCACACATACACTACTAGAAGTACACGTGTCTTCTATGGGAGGAATGACTATATAATTCCCTGTAATTTTATGAAACATTTTCAATATTTATTCCCACTCTGGAGTGGAAAATAAGAAAGACTCTAGATGAAGTATCAAAAAGTAGTAGTTAAGGGAAAATAATCTACAAATGGACAGGAAGCCCAGAACTAAGTGCTTGGTGCTCATGTTATAAAAAATATACATTTAATTTGGGGAAATCTACTTCAAATGACTGAATTTTAGAACTGAAAAGTTCTTTTAAATGGTCTTATAGAATCCCTCTGATGTACAAGTAAGTCGACCAAAGCCTAGAGAATGGAACAATTGGCTTGCCCTAGTTAGTTGAAAGTAACTAACCTTTGGGTCCCTTGATAACTGCTATTGCCTTTTCTTCTCTAATATATGTTCCATTTCTCTCACAACATGAGGAGATACACAAGCAGATACATAGGTAGGAAAGTAGATAGATACTTTTGATTAGTAGGTCCTTTCCAAATCATATAAATCATAACTCAGCTTAAAATGTTTAGGGAAGGATTTTTATTCATTTTAATGTGTGTAAGATGTGTCTGATGGTGCAAGGTACTGTTCTGTTTTCAGAAAGTGAGTAGTGCTTATGTACAAAATAAATAGGGTGGTGTCATTTTTTGAAGGTGGTGTGATGGGAGATGGGGTGCTTCTTGACAACAGATAGTCAAGGAGAACATTTGTGAAGAGGTGATATTTGGAATCTGTAAGTGTGATTTGCATTTTTGCACTATCAATGTCTAGCATATTGACCTACTCAGGATAATGTGCAATAAATGTTGGTTAAGTTCAGTTAGAGATGTTTTCCATTTTAGAATTGAATGTAGGTTCCAAAATAGACCAAAAAGTTGTTCCATTAGCATTTTTATTACTTCTTGTCCAAGAAAGTACATATTATGATTCCTATCAGTTCTCCATCAACTTACTGGTGATGGATATTCTTAGGGTATTTATACCCACAGATTGAATGAATAATAATACTTTCTCAGCTTAAAAACAAATGTTTAAATAAAATATACATGTTGTTTGTGTCTTTTTTTTTTCAATACTTTTGCAAATGCCCATGAAAATACCAGCATGAGTGAGTTTTGTTCTACTAGAAATTCATTCTCCTGGGTGTTTATGTGCTTTTAATTTACTTGTTAATGATACAAGTGACTTAAAAAATATCGTCCATTTGGGATGAGACAGGGAATTATAGACTCTATATTAGCTGCAATGACCATTAGAAGGCAGTGTTTAAAAGTACTGTCAGTTATTTGTATATTTAATCCACTAGATTTGTGTTTTGGAGGAAGGGATGTGTGGCAGATTGTCTTTTTTTTCTTCAGGTTGGCTTGCAACAAAGAAAGAGGATAGGTTTATAAAACTCATTCAATAAGCTTGTTAAACATAGGGCTTTCTAAGTGCCTGTAATCTCTGGGTTTAAGATTCCTTATCCATAAAGTGTGAGAGTTGATGTGGCCTTTTAAAATGTTTTTCAGTACTAAGATTTCATGTTGTTGCTAATATATTCTCAAATTTCTCATTGATCTTTCATCAAAAAATTTAAAGAATGTGTAGAAAGCAGGTTTCAGACTATGGTATCAGTAATAGTATAATGTTATATTCATATGTCATCACGCTTATAGTGTATCCCATGTCCGTATAAAACAAATCATGTGAAGTCTTTATAGAATTTAGTTTATAAATGTCAAAGATGAGGATTTGGTGCCTTTGTATGTCATGTCGGCCTGTAAATCAAGGGATTCTTCATGGATTTCCTATGGCTCCAATGGAAACTATATTTTAATGAGTAGTAGGAGTCACCAGAAAAAGTTATAGATACAAGGGGATATGTTGGAGAACAATAAAACAGAAAGTGCTGGATGCAGGAGGCACAACATATGTCTGGAGGATAGTTCAAGGACAGAACTAGGACCATAGCTAGAAACTCAGAAGGTACATCCTAGTTCCATAGAAGGAGGAAAATACAACTTATGAGAGCCACCAGCTTATGAAATAAATGCCCTTTGAAGATCTTTCAACTGTGGGTTTATAAGAATGTTAGAAAGAATTCAAGCATTGGGAATGGAAGAGGGCTGATCCAGACAACCATGAAATCACTTCTAATACAGAGGAGCAGTCATTTGGTCCTACTTCCTCTTGAACCCATAGAGAAGTATAGAATTTTTAAAATTGTGACTATCTGGATTATTATTTGGCTCTACTTAACAATTTTAGAATCCTGAAAATATCATACTACATTTATCCTGATCTTTATTGATCATTATGTAACTCCTGTGAGGTAGGAATAGATCTCAACTCCATTTGACTGAAATAATGGAAGTTCAGGATTTCCAAATGACTCCCTGGATCAGAAATTTTCAATATACATAGTGGGAAAAGAACTCAAAGAGTCCAGCTCTTTCAACTTCTAAGTCCAGAACTTTCTATTATGAATATTTTAGTCTGTTTTTCTTCAGCATGCTCTTAAATTTCATTTCAAAAAGTAAGTCCTGGGGGTGCCTGGTTGGCATAGTCAGTTAAGCAAGCACCCAACTCTTGGTTTCAGCTCAGGTCATGATGCCAAGGTCATGAGATGAAGCCTGGTATCAGGCCCCACACTCAGCACAGAGTCTGCTTGAGATTCTCTCCACTTCTCCCTCTGCCTCTCTCACTCATGCTCTCTCTCTCTCTCTCTCTCAAATAAATAATAAAAACTTTTTTAAAAAGTAGGTCAGGAAGAAAATTAAAATGTTATATTTGATATTTTGTCAAGAAACACTAAAAACAGAAGTTGAAAATATGTGATAGGATGAATTCGTAAGAGGTCCGTAGTTATTTTTTCTTATCATAATAAAAGCTAGTCAGTAGATGGAAGTGAACTGAGGTTGATTGTATCAGAACATTTTGTTTTAATCACGTCATAAACTCCCCAAGAGTAATTAAAAAAATAAATCAGGAACTAAATAATGGTATTTCCTTGATTCAAAGTGAAAATACATTTTTGGCGAGTTTTTGCAAAAATTACATTGAGATACGATTATGTTTAATGCTTAAGACCAAAATATTTTATTAAAATATCAGTATTTGTGTCCCTTTATTGCTCCAAGGACAGCACAGACAGTTCACAGATTGTAATTAGAATATATTTCTTTTATTTAGAATATATTTCTAAATGTCATTTCATTTCTTACCTAAACTATTTCATTTCTTAACTACAATTTTTTGTATTAAATTTAGCAATTTTAAAATTT